TCTGTTATGTAGTATTCTATTAATATTTGTGTTAAACCCGAAAGAATTGTCTTTAGTTGAATTCTATAAATAATTAACTATAGGAACTGAGGCATTGTAGTAGAGGACAGCCGATCATATTGATCTCTTCCCAATAAAGACTACTGTTTGAAGGAGATAAGTGGTTTTGAATATGAGCAGTATCATATTTATTCTCAGGGAGCAGCTTATTGTTTGTGAATTAGTTCGAAAAATATTAACCATTTAGGCCAATTCTATATAAATATTTGAAAATTAAATTTATTTAAGTATTTTTGTGTGCAAATTATGGGGAATGAGTAAATTATGGAGAAACTGAAATACTGGATAAATTATAGAATTATAGGCTAAAGCCCCATTCCCTCCCCCCCCCCCCCAAAAAAAAGAATTAAATCCTGGATCCGCTAGTGCTAGTGTAGAATGAAGATATAATAACACCCATTGTCACTTAAAGTTTTGAGATCCGGGTTATATCTAAGGCTTCAGGACAGAAGCTATTTTTTTCATGGAAGATAAGCGTTCTCAGCAAAATCTCAGCATGGTGTTCAAACATAGACAGTGGAGAATTCGCACCCATCAGCTATATGCTTAACTATTTTGAATCTCACAGTTGTGAGGGTTAACCAAATCTGGTGATTGGAACATGAGACGGGTATGTCGGAAGACTACACCCAAACGAATGCTTGAGGATCGACGTGGTGAATACGTTCTAGAGGAAGGTCGCACATGAAGTGGCAGCGTGAGATGGAGGACATCCCTTCTCCAAAAGGATGGGAATTCGAAAATGACTTGACCCCAAAAATAAATAAATCAATTACATAATTGATAGTTAAATCCAATGGCCATCGTAAGACTCTTAATAAATCGTTTATTAACTGGAATGAGGAAAACCAGTTGTGCAATCTGATTGGTAATAATGGAGATGGTTTTCCGAACCTAATACAACATTTACACTCCGTACTAGAAGCCAATGATGCCATTGCATTAAGCAATTGTATTAAAATTCCATTCCGTTGTATTCGAGGTGAGTTCAAACGTAAAGGAATTCCATGGTTTCATTATAGCTTTAAGCGGTCGTTTTATCGTCAGCAATATTATTTCCGGGATGGTCTCTGAAGTAACTCTACATGCTGTGGAAACATTACATATTACCTATTTCTAAGTAAAACAAAAAATTATTTATGGAGAGTTATATTTTTTTATATTACATGTAAAAATTTGTCATTTCCTCATAATTATATTTCCAAAATATCTGGTGTAAAATCACTCATGTTACTTTCTTTACCACTTTGGGTGAAAGTTCCATCCTAATTTTGTTTTTTTATAATTACAAACAAAGTTGAAGTCCTTACCAACAATATTTTTTTTTTGCTTTAATTTTTTTATTCACACCTGTCATAGTGGTAATGACAACCAGTGAATGTGAGGTCGTTGGAAAAAATAATGTCATGAAAGGCATTACGAGGATCAGTACCCAGCGGCACCTCACTCGGCGTGATATCTACATTAGGCGAGGAGGTCCCTCATCCAGCTCCTCTTCAGTCTCCTACAGACGTTACCTGGTATATTCGTAGTGGCCATGTCATTTATAAGTGTATTAGGATGTCCTTGTAAGTTGTCATGGAATCGTTTGTAATAAGTTCCTATGTGTTCATTAATAGTCGGCATATGGAGTTCAGTATGTAAGGTTATGTTGCTAACGTACTAAGGTGCTTTTGTAATTGTTCTGAATGTTTTTGCTTCCAAATACCTATGATGCGTAAGTCCAAATAGGTTTTAGTAAGTAATTCTATGTGTTCAATTTCTGTCTAAGTTTTAGTTTTGAATTTTTCGAAAGAAGTAAACTCAGAATTCTTAACCGTTGATTTAGCGTTTTTCGTTTCTTTATTATATGTGGGCCCCACGTCATTTTTCTGTCAAATGTCAGACCAAGGTAGTGAACGGTGTCTGTCTGTGGAATCTGTGCAATGTCAAGGAAAACTGGAGGGCATGTTTCATGTCGAAGCGTAAATGTGATGTGCTGTGATTTGTCTTGATTTAGTCGGATTTTCAAATTTTGAACCAGTCATGTAATCTTGTTAAATACTGTTGGAGGGTCTGTGAGACATATGTTGGATTTTTGTGTCTTGCTAAAATTGCTGTGTCGTCTGCATATGTCGCTGTTAAAATGTTGGGACTGCAAGGTATGTCATGGGTGGATGTGATATAGAGTAGTGGAGCGCATACAAAACAATATTAAAATATATATATTGATAATACTTATGTGTCATTTTTCATCACGTTTGTCAGTTTATTTTTGTAATTTATTTGTATATTTGGAATTTGTATATTTACAATATATATGTAATTTATTTATTTATATATTTGTTAGTTATTTTATTTCTGTTTAAATTTTAATTAATATATACTGCGGCTGGTCGGAGTTATGGGATATAGTACCGTAGTTTGGGGGCTTCTGATACAAACTTTCATAATTAAATGCAAGGGTAGCGTATATAAGTTTTGTACATTGTGAATATAATTGAAATATATCGATAAAATAACTAAAAAGACGCTTCCTTGCTGAGATGCCATTGGTGCGGAGAAGTAACACTTGTAATGATTGGCTACCGGATTATCCTTAACCCAGAGTGGGCTCATTTGCATATGTCCATAGATGGCTACAGTTTATCCAAGTGTGTCAAGTTTCGGCTCGCTCCTGCTAATTACGGTTTAGGTAGATTGATTTAATTTTATCTGAGTGCGAGTCAGCTCCTTGTCATTGGGTTTATGTATCTGCCCTTTGGAATATATATATATATATATATATATATATACAGCTACAAAGTTGTTCTAGTTCTTGAATAATAATAATGTAAACATATATTTAATTATTTCTCGTGTCCCAAAAAATCAGGTTTAGTTTGACCCATTCTTACTCGTAAATACGTTTTATGATCTTACTTATCAAATCAGACGTTTTTTCCTATTCGACACGGTGCATGAACAGTTTTTTTTTCGCGTACACCTTTCGATGTTTTTAACTGCTTCCTTGGGTTTTTCTCCAAGTTTCCATTATAATAAATAACATTTTAAATATTTCAAGCATCATAATTTCTCCTATTGAACGTTTGGTTTCGTCGTTCTAGCGAATTATCAGTCCAAATTTTCGTCAATCGGCGTGAACTCAGTTAGTCTGACGTTCCATAAGTACTGGGAATATTTTGGTTTTAGATAATAATATTTTTAAAAAATTATTATGAAGTTTTTTAAAATTTCATTAATGGATGAAAATAAATAGTCCAGAAATCCTCCACTTCTCTCCAAGAAGAAGAGGAGGAGCTACGCCAGACATGCCACCGGAGTGAGAAGAATAAGAGAACAAAGCTGAAATTTGGCACCGCTTGGATGATTAACTAACTGATTGATAAACCTCATGGTTAATGCTCATATGCTCATTAATACTGGTAAGCTATTAGAAAAAGGATAACTGACATTTATTGAATTAATTTATCATTGTAATGTTGAACTTGGGTGTTGTAATAGGACCTTCCTTGTTGTAATATGAACACTTTTTCATGAGAGGTGAAAATAAAAATTCGTAGATTAAAACAAATACATCAATGTCACTATTGTGTTTAAATTCTATGTTTTCATAATGTGTTATGAGAAATATAAATTATTTGTCCCTATTCCTTGCCTGATTATCATATTCGATAGTGCACTCTAGCAGTCTTCGTAAAAAGTGATGAGGAACGTTAATGATGATGAGAATTTGATTGAGAATTAGCCGATGGGAACAAGAGAACCTTTGTGGTTTCTGTTTATATCGCGCTATGTTACTAACACCTTAAGATTTTGCTTGAACTCTCGGGTTATACAAAAAAAAAAAAACTAATGTGTCACTCACACGAATTTCTTTACCGTTTCAAGTGTGAGATTCAATTCGAATATATTTGTCGAATATTTATTCAATGAAAAATATTTGTCATGTCTTCCCTTATTTTGGTTTATTATTATAATTTTTTATAATGCTTTACCAATTACGATTTCAAATAAATTTATTTCATGTACATAGCTATGTAAGGTATTGTATAAATCGTGTATTTATATTAAAATATAAATGGACTTTAAAAGTAAAATTAATACCTTAAGAACATGTATAATTATATAATTATACAAAAACACTTTTTAGAAATAATATATTAAGTTAAAATTTAGTAGTGCTTTGATCCCGTTTCTAGGTCTGAAGAATGGTGGATTTTTTATTAAAACGTGGTTTCAAAGTTAAATGAAACTGCTTGGAAAAAGTGACCAATTTCATATTGAAATTATTTTAAAAATGCAAGTGATTTCAAAACTTTACATACCAACTTACGACAGCTAACCATCGACCAACTATGAGTACACTTTACTCCAGATTTCAGTAAGAACCTCATGCTCATCTGAAAGCGACTGAAAAAGAGCTGCATGAGAGATCCCTTTTTTCGAATTAAGAAATTAAAAAAAAGACTATGTATAGAGCAGTACCTCTTTGGGCATTATCCTTCCTCCAGCTTGATGGCCACATTCATGACAGATCCGGATGAAGATTTAAAGAACAACTAATAAGAAATGCTGTACTAATACTGTATTCACAAGATCTTCAAAACTCGTGTTTACTAGAAAAGAGTTGCTTGAAAATTAATGATTTTCATTAAATGAATTTTAAAAATCATTGAACAGATTTATAGACTGTCAACATCCTTCGGTACTGCCATAAACGATAGAGGTTTATGTGTGGGTGTTGTCTTTTATTATTCTTATTTCAGTATTTTACTTTGTTAATGTATGTTTATATATCATAACTGATGTGAGTACTATTCATTTTTTTTCTTATCAGTTCTGTTTATCTGTCTGTCAGTTAATTCCATAAAACTGTTAATTTTTTTTTTTTAAATAAGGACAATTATTTGTGCGTTTTATCACTTCAACAACGCCTATTAAACTGTTCATTGTTTCAGGGCAAGGGAAGACAGTGAAGAACTCCGAGGGCGGACTCGTAGAAGCGTAAGTAGATAGCGTCGAGTTAGTAGTTGTAGTTAGTAGTGGCTGTAGTTATCTCAAGGCAGTTAGTGTCTGCTTAGTAAGCTACGGGCTGTCTTGTTTTATGCATCCGATCCCCTAACCGGCATCTATTTACTATACGTGTGCTGTGTCTTCAATGTCAGCCTCTATGTCTTGTCTCTTAGCTCTAATGTAGACATATGTTACTCAGGTCCTTATTTGTCTCTTAAATTCCAGCTTGGCTGGGATTTAACAGTAATGCCTCATTAGTATGAATTAATGTAAGCTAACAAGCTGCTAAATATTAAGTGTGTCTCCTTTGTACAAAACTTTACAAGATGCATTCATAAAGTAATACGGGCCCGTTGGAAGGTAAACATGAGCACTATTCCCGGCTTGTTGCAGTGAATTTGCATTAGAAAGTTAAATTAGCAATACTAAGCTCAGCCAACTTTGCCGTTCGCATTAATAACAGCGTAAACAACATCTGGAATTACTCCACGCCTCCCTCTCCCTTCCCTCCCAAAAAACTTTTAAAAACGTGTGAACACATTGTAATGAATTCAGACCGAAAGAATAATCTTTTTATTGAAAGAATGATAATAAAATCTGCCACAATCAAAGGCATTGGGCATTAAGGCTCTGTGTACATTCATAGCATACAAATTGAGAAAAAAGAACATCTAATTAAAAAATATATACCATAAAATAATAACAAAAATATAAGATACCTGTAAAAAGGAAAAAAAAATACATTAAGATGATAATAAAAAGAATAAAAATTGCTTGTCACACTCATTCCTATATACAATATTTACATTCAGCCTAGGGAACCCTGAACTATGCTTTGCCGCTCTCATGTAAGAGGCAAATCAGGGTTCAAAGAGATCCCAGCGCTTCTCTTCCACTCGCATCACTGTTTGAAAGTCAGTGGAGGCTGAGCACTAGCGGATCCAGGATTTAATTTGGGGGGAGCCTTCAGCCCGAACATTTTTTAAAATAAAAATAACGATAATTTCTTTGGAAAAAAAGAAAGAAACTAACTACCTATAAGAAATGGTGTTTCAGTGATTCCTGAAGTCCTTTTAAATGTAATTACACAAGCAATAATACCTTAAGAAATAATTTTTTAACATTTTTTCCATAAAACATGGTTATATTTTAAAATTTTGGGGAGGGGCCTCAGTCCGAAAGCCCCCGCCCCCGTAGATCCGCCCGTGAGACTGAGTGAGAACGCTAAAGCCACATAGACTGGCCACTGCCAGAACTCCAATAGCGTATTTACTAAAGGTCTCGAGACCATTGCAGTTTAAATCTTCGTGGAGATTATATGGATGGTTAGAGCTGAAGAGGGATTTTGCTAAGGGATTAGAATGATGGATAAGTTTTTGATGGATAAGTTTGAGAATCTGGATGAAATTAGGTCAAGGACAAATGGGATGTTGAGATCATGATGCAGAGTTTTATTTGTGGCGTAGTGTGGATTGACTATTGTTCGAAGTACTTTGGATTGAAAGGATTGGATGAGTTTAATGTTCCAAGATTTAGCTATCCTCCGCAGTTCAAGTTCATAGGTCCAAATTTTATGGTTTTTAGTATGGTTTTTTATATTAGTAGTTTGTTTTCAATCGAAAGATGTGAGTTTCTGTTCAGTAGTCTATATAGGTGGCCAAATCGTCAGTTAAGTTCTTGTCTTTTAAGCCCGATAGAGAATTCCATGTCAGTCTTGGAGGAAGAACAAGTACCGAACTGTGTCTGAGAAGGGAAGAGTATAGTATAGAGAATAGTTTAAACATATAGGCGGACAGAATTTACTTCGGAGTGTGAAGGTAATGTGCTTACACTTGGATTAATTTACTTTAATACTCCAATCATCAAAAAAAGTTAAGCTGGAATATAAAAGTATCATTGAAGTTCACACAACTTTGATGATTAAGGAGGAAATCCAGACCACGACGAGCTGGTTGAATTTCAATAGAAACAAACAAAATCAGAAATCAGACTTTTTTTTACTAACTAAATAAAATAACTGAAAATTACATGAAATCTAAGTGAAGGCAGTAAGTATCATGCCATGTCTGGAATGGTCCAAATGATACAGTATAAATTAACTTTTTGAATAAAACCTAAATTTATGTTATAACCTAAAAAATGTTATAACTATTGTATTAATGTCTCCTCTATTCCACGTAATCAATGCCTTTCACATTTCGCAGACATTGTATTGTCAACAGTTATCTATATTAATTTTAATTTTTAAAAACTACGTCTCAATTAGGGAAAGATGTCTTTGCAGGTTTAGGAATGCCATTTCAGGTTCTGAGTGGGAGGAGACCGAAAGAATGTTGATATTTCAGCCAACTATCAATTTGGCAATAAATACAAAACGTCACACCTGTTTTGGAAATGAAAATTTAAAAAAAATGCCGTAAGTCGAGAAAAAAGTCGGCTAAGTAATGCCAGTATAGCTTCATCACCGTTTTCATTGGTTGAACAATATCTATATTTCAAAGTCTATAATTTTTCGCAGAGGAATAAAATCTCCGAGAGAAGCCATTTTCGGAAATACAGTAATTCTTTAACATTCGCGGTTTTGATATCCACCAATTTTGTTCATCGGCGAATACTAAAATGCTGAAGAATTCTAGACTTGAAAATCGCGTATTTGATTATAAAAAAAAATCTCTGTTCATACTGAAGATGAAAATCACTAATTTAGTGAAAAAAGTCGTATGTAAAAATTGAGTGTTTTATAAGAGAACATAAATTATTTCTTGATGATTACAATAATAAAGAAATAAATCAGTAATGTCATATTTTATTTTTCTCTGCAATTTTCCATCGTACCAGGCCTACCTAGCGTACCTATATAGGCTAATAAGGGCTACATATATCAGTTGCATACTACGGAATGTCAACTTTAGCACCAATACTATACAAATGGAAAATTATTACATAGGACCTTTTACACTAACGGTAGTGATGTATACCTATAGGTACATTTTCACTAGTAAAATGGATGAAATAAAAAAAAAACCATTGGAAAAATTAAATTTTCTGTTTGTTCGGAGTTAACGAGACCAATATTTTCGCTCCGTCAGAACAAAAAAAGTTAAGCTGGGATATAAAATTATTATTGAAGTTCACACAACTTTGATGATTAAGGAAGAAATCGAGACCACGACGAGCTGGTTGAATTTCAATAGAAACAAACAAAATCACAAATCAGACTTTTTTTTTACTAACTAAATAAAATAATTGAAATTAACTGAAAATTACATGAAATCTAAGTGAAGGCAGTAAGTGTCATACCAGTTATGTCTGGAATGGTCCAAATGATATAGTATAAATTAACTTTTTGAATAAAACCTAAATTTATGTTATAACCTAAAAAATGTTATAACTATTGTATTAATGTCTCCTCTATTCCACGTAATCAATGCCTTCCACATTTCACAGACATTATATTGTCAATAGTTATCTCTATTAATTAATTATTAAATTGAATTAAATGAAATTGGTACAAGACGATATCGGAACAATTTTCCAAATTTCCTCCAAGTGTTATTGAAATTGAACAAGCCGTTTGCAAATCAAACAATCAGTTTACTGATCCGAAAGCGGAAGTCTTTTATTTTAGAGTAGTGGATCGAATTTGATGAAATTGATGCTTACTTTACTACCTGTTAACCAATCCATAACTTCCCTCCCAATTTGAGCTGAATCGAACTAGCGGTTTTAGAGATATAGAAGTATCAAGGAAAACGTATTAGGGCATATATAAGAGAAAGTAGATGACGAAAATCGATACGAAATCACTATTTTACCAAAACCTATATTTCTTTCAACTCTGAGCCAAATCAAACGAGCCGTTTCAAAAATATTAGCATATTTATGAAAACACATATATGCGTGCGCAAGCGGAAGTGCTGGACGGAATGTAATAAAATTGATATGAGACCATTTAGGCACAATTCCTTAAAATTTCATGAAAGTCGGATGAACCGTAGTAGGTGATATGCCCGTTACATCGATTTGACTTCAGACAGACAGACACCGAACCAAATTTGCTCCTAAATAAATCCATAAATCCCAATTTTAACGTGAAACGCGAGTGAAAATTTTCGATTCTTAGCAATATTTTTTTTTATCTCTCCCAACAATACAACAATACCTTCGATAGTGAGGAAGCACAAGGTACAAGTAAATACTTATTATTCAATGTTGATTTGATAGTAATTTTTCTGTAAGTTTTGGCTTTTTCTGATTTAACTTGAATGTGATTTCATTATACTAACATTCATTTGGACATAATAAATAAAAATACTTTCGGAGGAAGAAAAAACACTTTGCAAGACTATTACGACTTCAAACCTTATCAAAAATAGTTCATTTCACGAAAAATAATTTCACCAATTATTTTTCCATGCATATGGATAAGCAGGCTTTTGCTTTCTCACAACCGATCATTCAGTCCCTGGAGATATTTCGTGCCAGTACACGGCATTTAACTATGACCTTATTCATTGGCTCGTGTCTCCCTGGGCACAAACGACATTTATCATATGTATAGTCACTAAGCAATGCTTCAAATATTTGACATTTAACCAAGACTTCTTTCACCCAAAATTACGTTTTTTTGTAATTAATTTCTTTGTTGTTGTTATTTACTCATTTTCGAACGAAGTGAATCATTCAAAATAAAATGAAAAAAAAAAAACGTTTATTTCTTATTTATTGATTTTAATTTTTAAAAGGAATTTACTTTTACATGTTTAGAAGTAATCAATAAAACGCAACTTTCACTTACCGCTCAACTTTGAAAAACAATTATGTTCTGGCCATGCTGGGCTATTATAAAATTTTTGAATTGCATTTTTAACCGAGCTATAGCTAAAAAGTTGCAGCTAACAAATCATAAATACCATCAAAATAACAAAAGTCCTATTTATTATATCACTGGTTGATTATGGATTGTACGATCCGTTAATTTTGGATTTAAA